AAGGACTGTTTAACAATGTTTAATTTGTGCATGTTTGAATGTATTTTTTTTATAAGTACCTACTAATTGTGAATATAAAGTATTTTTGAATTGTATATGTCTTTTTTAATTTTTTCATAATTTTAATGAGTTAAGACTTCAAAAACTGTTTTTATTATTTAATTGTATCTTATAAACCAATTAAATGTCAGATTGAACAACACTAGTTACACCTGCGACCTGCAGAAAAAATAGTATTTATAACTTTTTCTCCTCTTTTTCGTTTTTTTCTTTTGCTGCTGTCACGTGCGGAAAAGTTTCAGTTTATACACTAGAAAAGTGTGCTATTACATGATCGTGGCAAATCTGTCTGAAGTAAATCACAATTGTTTTTCATTATTTAAAGATATTTACATCTCCTTAAATATATTGTGCCGTTCCAGTTACGTTAGTATACAGTTCAATGCCCACAGGACCCTTTTTCCCGACCGCACCCCCGCACCGCCCTCGAACCCGGACGCAGACTGCCGCCGCGCACCATTAGTCTAAGGGTGAATGCGAGGGATGTTTACGGCGGAAAAAGGAATTACGAAAAGAAATAAATTTACCACGCGGCACGTCATTCCTATGCTATGTGTTATGTGTTTTTGTAAATATAATTTTGTATTATTTCTGAACTTTCTTAAATGTTTAAAAAAATATATATTTTTTTGCAGTTTGGTAAATATAGTACTTATATGACCTATCAGTGATGTTGGCGTACGATATTATGACAGTTGAGAAGTTAAATATTAATTACTAAGTAACTAGCTAACCCAAGTTTGTGTTGTTAAATAATTTTTTGTATTTAAATACTTTACTAAAAGTATTTGCTAACCAATTACCGGCATATTCTAATTAATAATTAGTAGTTAATTACTTTTTTAATGTCGACAGTATTTGGTAATTGTATCTAAATATTTTTTAAAAGTCATTTGCCCAGCTCTGACTGTAAGTAAGCTTGCAGCTTTCGACCTGATAAAATTTGGTGAATGCAATCATCAGGAATAAAATATCAGATAAATCACATGAGTTTCACGCGCGTCGCCGTTAGGGGCGCTAAATGTATATTCCAAATCCATCATTGCAGTTTCAATTCTAAGGGGGGATGTTCTGGGCTTATCATAGCCACTGTAAACAATACTATCGTCAATCCAAACATTTGAATATAAAACTAACTTAGTTTTCTATGCTTAGTTTTATACTTTATTATATAGTTTTTCTATGCTGTTTGTAACTGTCAAAATGTAAACAATTAATGTGCGGTTAAAAATCATAATAATAGTTGTGGTGTTGGGCTGTGTTCCTCTCAGGCAATTTGCCAAATAAATCATATTATCCCGTATAAACAGAGACAAGATTCGGGCTGTGTTGGAAACAGCATCAAGATTCCTCTCCGCTCAACTTAAATTCTTAGATTGAAAGGAGCTGTTTCTCCCTAAATAACTCTATAGTGCTCGTCGATCCTGATGGTAAGTTGAACATTGCTGTTTGAATTTAACGCTGTAGCTCTTTGATGTTCACTTCTTGTCCGTTTCATAATGAATAACAAAAAGGGGGTCGGGCCCCCCTTTTGTTGAAACACACGTTTCATGCTTTCAAGTGAATATTTTCATCTGTTTGTAACTGTTTCTAGTGATAAGTTACGCGTGTGCCTTCAAATAAGTATAATACCACTAGCTGACCCGGCAAACGTTGTTTTGCCATATAAATTATTTCTAGGATTATTTTAGTATTATAGAAAACAATTACTTATTGTGAGTGTGTGCCGATGTGGTATGGAGCGCTGGTATGAGCGCGTAGTTGAAGAGGCATGGAGCGCTGTGAGCGATGATGGAATATAAAAATAATACAATTCAATAATTATAATCATTTTACTAAAAACCAATATCAATTCCTTAGGGCACCCGCAGACGGGCGAGTTTTGTAGCGCGACAGTTGTGACGCTGAAAATGGAACTCATTATTTTAAATACAGTCCCGCACACGAGCGACTTTCTGTAGCCGCTACTAGCGTCTGCCATAGATAATATAGACACATCATGATACAATGAATACAAGGTATGATCTTGCGTCGATTTGTGTGACGTCAGTGGAAATCATTGCCTGGTGTGCTTTTTTCCTGTCTGCTGAATGTGATTAAATATAGCTTATTTAGTCTTTATCACATTTAATTATTTTTTTATAAACCTTCCTTTTAATTACAAGATGCTTTGCAGCAGATTTTAGACTCGAAAATTAAAAGTAACAAAAATGTGTTTATTTTGCAGACTAGCACAGTTGCCAGTTGTGCAATAAAGTATAGCGTTAGCTGAAAATGTATCCTTGCAGAAATAGTACATTACGATTCCCGAGACGGAAGTCCAAACAATGACCCAATGTTACTTTCCTATTATTTACGACGGAATATGCGGTTTGTGGTGCCGCGGATGATATGTAAATTTTAATACAAATGAAATGACTGCACACCGCATTTTTTATATTTCTGAACCGACACTTAAAAGTAGCAAACAATCTAGAGTACACTTTCCAACCACCAATCGCAAAATGCTCAGTTTTTTTGTCTACAAAATTCCCAAACATGCCCAAACGCATTGACCCCATGATACAATGAATTAATTGTATGATACAACCAATTCATTGTATGAACAGTGCATTCATTCATTGTGTTACAATTAATTCATTCTTTGGTTTGGCTCAACCCGATTTCTGAAATGACACTCTGGCAGCACAGCACGCTAAAACGCTGAAAATCAGAGATTTTGTAAAGAATTATTTAGGGTATTTTTCTTCCCAATAAGCCTAAATCAGGTCCCAAACGCGATTTTCAAAGCATTGGGCTATGCAATGCTGCAAACCATATCCTCATATCTTTCCATTTTTGGACTATTGCGTTTTGAATTCAGTGAAAATTTGTCTAGGTTACATGTATTTTAAATGGGATCAGCTGTTCACTTTACCAAAGTGGTAACCAGCGACGTCATGTACGCACGAAAATCGAGTTTTCGACCGATTAATATCCTACCTTGTATTCATTGTATCATGTAGACATATAGTGTGCGAGCGACAGTCGTCGAGCATGTAACCTGTTCCATTCTCAAGGTTAGACGCAGCGTCTAAGAGCCGTTTCACACGGGCCACTCTGCAGCGCTTCTCAGTGGCGCTGCTGATAAGTGCACGTTAACATTGTMCCAGCCGCTCTGCAGCGCTTCCCGGTGGCACTGCTGCGAAGCGCACGTTAACCTTGAGCAGACTGAAGTCTCGTGTGAACGCCAGCATTTGAACCAATGTATCGCTATCAGTGGCGCTTCTTTTTGAAGCGCTTCTCGGCGGTAGTCAACCACTGAACGCCACAGAAGTGCTGCTAAATCGGTGATCGCGCCCGCGTGAATAGCTCAATATAAATCAATGTATCTTCAAAACGCGTTTCTCAGCAGCGCCACTGAGAAGCGCTGCAGAGTGGCCCGTGTGGAAAGGCTCTAAGAGCAATTTCAACCGCGTTTCATTTCAAGTGCGACCAACTCACGCCAATGTGCTCTTTTTCGTCCAGAGGCGGGATTTACGGGCTGCGCGAGTAGAACGACACGAAACCGTGTACCTATAGAGATTGCCTTAGCTGTACGATATATAAGCTATGATGATAGTATACTCAAGAGCACCCCTGTGACCGCAGACCTCTCCTTGCGGACACAGTCTAAGAAGAAGACGTGGACCACATGTGATGACCAGTTTTAAGAAGCAAGAGAGGCTGTATTAGGTTTAGGCATGTTAAGTTATGGTAGATTAAGTCAAACGATTGCTAGAGTACATGTAGGAATGTTTTCCGGGCTTTGAAGCCGTGGTCTATCGGAATTTCTTCCTGACGTTTCGTCCACAACTGCGGTGGACATTTTCAAAGGCGATGAG